TTCATTCATCCGAAAGTAAGATGATTTTCTCTACGGATTTGCATTGGGTAAGCAAACAAATTGAATGGCAACTTTCAACTTTAGTTGACTTTCAATTAAAACAGTGCAAACATTTGAACGTCGAACGTTTTCCATTTTTTTTTTTCGTTGCCTTTTCCAATTGTTTCAACATGACTTGTTGGCAAATTGAATTTCATTTTTTTTTGCGGATTATATTTGACTTTTGCTCAACATTCACAAAAACGGGAGCGTTGTTTTTCTTCAGTTTTATTTTGTTGCCTTTTGATGTTAACTCATCCAACCAGAGTCATAAATACTTGCTGTGCTCTCAACTGGCAAAAGAGAAAAATATTTATTAAATAAAAACCAACTCCTGGCCCACCTTTTCATATGGCACTGGCTTTTCCTCTTTTCTTTCTCGGGTCGGGCCCAACTGTGGGGGATCACATTTCCAGCTGTTGCTCAAATTTTCACTTTGTGTGTTCTTTTTACCCGCCAACGCTGAAAGTAGTTTGTGGATGCGTGTGCATAATTAAATTAAAAAAGTTTTTTGTTATAAAAGTCATTGACTCAGAGACTGCCTTTTAAAGCAGTGATTGTTTTAAAGTGGCGGCTTTGATAGGAAGTTGGGAAGTTGGAACCTACCAAATGAGCTCTGTATGTGGAACGAGCCTGAAATTCCAGCGGTGTTCGATTCAGATTAGCTCTAGATGTGGAAGGACCCTGAAAGTCCCGCTGTTGCCGGCTTAGAACAGCTATATATGTGAAAGAAGCCTCAAATTCCAGGTATATCCGATTCAGAGCAGGTCTGGTTCTCAAAGTCTCCTCAAACTCCAGCGGTGTCCGATTCAGAGCAGCTCTCGGTGGGAAAGGATCCCCAAAGTCCGCCTGTGCCCTGTTCGGAACAGCTCTAGTTGCGGAAGGAGCCCCGAAGACTAGCTCTGCCCGGTTCAGATCAGGTCTGGTTATGAAAGGAGCCTCAAAGTTCATCTGTTCTTGATTCTGGGCAGCTCTGGGTGGCGAAGGAGCCACAGAGGCCTGTTGCGCAGCAGTGCCCCCATTCTGGATATTTATAAATATTTTGAAAAAGAGGTTACTAATACCTACTTATCCACTATTATTGGACTCACCTGGGGGTCATTGTCTGGAGAACTTAGAGGTGGCGCCTCCGGCAGGTCTTCACAACCATTTCTCTCCCGTTCGTTTCTTATGAACTCCACAAAGGCTTGATGGTAACTGTTTATTTCGGTACGATTTTCCTGCTGGAAACTCATGTTTAAATAGACGAATTTTTTTCAGGTTGCCCTGCTCTCTGAACTTATGCAACTGAATTAAATGCCTTCGTCAAACTTTTGACAGCTACAGAATTTTTGGCAGTCACATGTAAAACTTTTGTTAACCACTATTGTATTTTGTATTTCTATTCCTTAGCCCTGGTTTGGCTTATTAATTTCCTCAAAAAACTTGTTGGTCTCCGTAGAGAATTTAATCATTAATAAAAAGGGTTTTACAGAATATTCTGCAAGGGTATATCAACTTCGGCTCCGCCCGAAATTAGCTGTCCTTTCTAGTTATTAAACATATAAGCAAGCAAAAAGAGTTCAAAGATTATAAAACTTTAAGTAAATTGCTTTAAAATTTAGTTTTTTCTTTGACAAAATCGGTATATATGTACATATATTTCCATAAACAGTAACCTTTCATGCTTTAAACTCTTCTCTGGCCTCTCCCCAAAATATTAATGACAACATCTATTAGTAAGCCCTACCGAATTTAAACATAATTTAACATACAAAAATATAATTGAATTTTTATTTTCGTCACGTTTTGACCATGTAAATTTTATCACCGAAAAGTAGCTGTGTTTATTCAACATTTTTTGGCCCCATGGACAGGTTTGGGGTCAACGGAAATAAGGCATATAATTATAAATATATGCTCGTATAAATCAAAGAACTTTCCATTCGGACGTTCTTGAGTATTCTTTGACAATTACCCCTTTTGTACAAAAATTTGGGTGGAAAATTAGCTGATTACAAGATGGAAAATTGTTATGAATCACTTAAGTTTAAAATCTTAAAAAAAGATGCCCAATATTTTGTTGGCGATGACACATTTGGGTTGGGTGAGCGGAAACCAAAACACAAAGTGAACATTTAACAATTCATAAGTGTTTGAAGAGGCTGCAGTTTCTGTGTTGGCGTTACAAAGAAAAAAAATATAAACTGGGTGTGAATCCATCAAGATGTCGTTGCGTGGCAGAGATTTTCAGTCCTCATCCTCGGCCAGTGCAACCTCAATTAAAGGCCACCATAAAAGGGGCGCCAGGCAGGCCAAACGTGGCCAGGTAATTATATAAGCCCAGTTGAGTGCAATCAAAACGAAATACCAGAAATATATATGTTTTTACCACTGTCTGGCAGTTCGGCGGCAACAAACAGTCAGACCCGCAGCATAAATAATCAACTGTGTTGGGGGAAAAGGAATTATTGCAATTGCTAAAGTTTTCACACACGAAAAAATGACATGAAATGCAATGAAAATGAGGGCATTAAGACATTGAAGTCATGAGGGTTACGTAATCACTTGAAGGCAGAAAATCCGACAACTTTTTTTCATATTTACCCACTATAGGAAGTCTGAAAAGACTGCAAAAAATAAGCTTGTCTCCAGAAACACTCTAACAATACATTCTTTTGACTTTTGAACAATTGTTCTCAGTTTATCTCCCAGTCTGTATTTTTAAAGGTTTTATAAATATATTTGTTTGCTAATTAAAAATACATATTCTTATTCAAATAATTGTTTAAGGAACGATAAGATATGATAATTTATCTTTAATAGTACGCGTAGCAAATAGGTAGCTAAACAGGAAGATAACGCCAGAATGAAATGTAGATAGAGGTAGGTCTCAGCGATAATAAAGATATCTTTTGTGCCTAGCCAAAGGTTGATTGGTCCAGTTTAGAGTTATAAATTTTAACTAATTTTATCTATTTGATCATATTATTAAATTAAGCATTTGAAATATACAATGCTTTATGCGACGTTTTATGTATTTTAACATTGGAAACCACATATTTCTTTGGCACCCTTAAGCCATTGACTTGACACACAATTCTGTTTATTTTCGTGAAAAAAAAGATAAACAAAACAAGAATATATATATCTTTCAGTTTTCGCCCACAGCAGTACAAAAGAAACCTACCAATTTGGGACCCCAATTGCGAAAAGCAAACTCATTTTGCTCATTAACTGCAATGGCTGCAGCACGTTTCGTCCTTTCTCTTATTCGCAGCTTTATTCGCTCTCTTTCTTTGGCATTCCGAGTGCACAATAGTTTTTAATGCGCCAAATTAAGTTTCATCGGAGTTTTTTAGACCTTCCCTCCCTTTTGCCGGGAATTATCCGCTCAAACTCTTTCGTTTTACCTCGCCATTTCAGCCCGCTTCCCTCTTGACCATATTGAGCTTGAAGTTGGCTTTTGTCTGGCGGAACTCGTGACTAACATTAATTTGACCAGAACTGGCTAAGAACTTCATTCCATTTATAGGACAGATGGCCCAGCGCAGATAAAACAGGAAAAGTATCTTCAATTTCAGCGCCCTGAAGATTTATTGCCTCGTTTCGGGTATTTGCCAGATTTCGGTAGAAATTGTTTCTGCTACTTTGTAGCTTCCCAATTTAGTGTCTCTCCGTCTCAATTATAATTCGATTTTCGTTTCACGCTTTTGTCAATTCGCAAATAAAACGACCCGTTAGCATTTTGATAGATTTTCTCATTTATTGTTTTGTTTCGGCAGTGGCTTTTGCCTTTTGGCATTTCGAGCATCTCATTAAGTCTCTGAGTTTTCGAATCAATTCGTTTCAGATTGGCTTGCCTGATTTTATGACTCCAAAATATTTGACATTTTTGGTGGGGAACAAAGCTGATAATTTGCCAACGGGGTAACCGCATAAAGTTTGAATTGAGTTATTAAATTGATTTGGACAATTCGATTGAACGTTTGCATTTCTGCTAAAGCTGGACCGTTGGACTAATTAAAAGTTCAATATAATGTTTTAAATTTAAAGATGACCGATTTATCTTTATTTGATTCCTTTCATATCCCCTTTTTCTAATTAAGCGATAATTCTATAATTCGATAATTTGTCAAATGGGTCATTGTATATAGTTTGAATTGAGTTATTAAATTGATTTGGGCAACTTCATTGAAAGCTTGCATATTTAATTTGTGATGGACACATATATTTAAAAATATATTTGAAGGTTGCTGATTTGTCTTTATTTAATTTCTTCATTGTATTAATCGTCCCCAGTTTTTGTTTAATAGTTTCAGATCGATAGCAATTAATCTCTTGCCTCAATATTAATACGTTGCTGAACGCAAATCCCTTATCCATCGATCACGGATGATCTTTTTTAATAGCTAATTTAATCTGCAACCGCAGATACAGATACACAGATACAAGATAATTACAACGAATAAACCAGGACACGCCGTGCAACATTTGTTAATGTAAAATATTGTAACACTATGGTTGATAATAAATTGCCTTAATGCTCATAAAGCCAAAACAACAAACCGCACAGCACAACAAACAGAATTTATGGCAGAGTAATGGTACAAGTCGAGAACGGGAATATATAGGAGGGCGGTGGGAGGTGGGAGGGGCTAGGGGGCTAGGGGGCCAGGGGGCCAGGGGGCCAGAGGGCGTTTGGGGTTGAAAAGTGGCGCAAGTGGCAGCGTTTTTAAAGCAACATTAATCATGAGCTCACGAGAGTGCCTCGCTTTCTCCCCGCCGCTTTCTCCGCTCCTGTCTAGTGTGTGTGGGAAATTGGCTTTTTCATGCCGGGTTTTTAATAATTTATAAAAGAATTTACGAGCAAAACAGCTGAGGCATAGAAGTGCGTTAACTACATGCACACAAATATTCCCATAATTAAATTTGAAGAATGCACAATCAGCAACAATTTCCCGCTTCTCTCGCTTTTCCAGCAATCCTTGCTGGCAGGACGCATTCCGGTGGCCTCCATGACAGGACCCATTAAACGAGGACTGCTCTGGCAGCAAAGGGATCGCCTCTTCTCTCGCTGGAAGGAACGGTGAGTACACTGAAAAATAATTTTACATTTTTAGCAATATATTAACACTGAAAATGAAAGAAAGTTTAAAAGCTAACCACTTGGAAAATAAATATTCAAAAACAGAAAGCTCTAAAGCTATGATTATATAAACAAATTTTAATTTAATAAATAATGTTGCTATATTTTTTTGGATTTTATTTTGGGTGACAATAGTTATTTTAAAGAAGCTGATAACTTTAAAACTCTACATATATGTTCTGCTTTTACCTTTGAAATCTATCAAACAAAGACAATTTTAAACATAAATTGATATAAGAAATAAAGTGTTTTTTGTAAATTTTACATTGCCAAGAAAATATAGATTGAAATAGAAACATTTCATTAATATTATTAAAGCCCCTTGTTTTATTTTGAAAAATCTTTACAAATTTGATAACCTATTTCTTCTGTGTGGTCAAGTGGGGATGCATAAATGTTAAGCGCTTTTAAATTTACCTCCACCGCAATCTGCATTGGCTGAAAGACCAGACATGCACACCCCCACAGCCCCTTAAAATATGCAAAAATATTTCACAACCTCCGAGGGTTGTTAATTGCGAAAAAGGGCATAATTGACAGTGGCTGCATGCTGGCTCGTCCTTTTTGCAGATAATGCTAATAGGGGGGTCGGGGGAGGGGGTTCAACCGACTGACAGCTCTTTTGTTTTCGTTTCCCCATGCTGCATTTAATTGAAATTTAATTATGTTGCAATGCAATTTGGTGTTTTTGTTTGACTTTCGGCTGTTGCCCTTTGAACCGATAATTACGTTTATCGCTTATCATTTATCGGCGCAATTTTAATTGACACTTAATGACCAACTAAGCCGGGTACTTCAATGGTCAATATTTGATTTCCATTTTTGCAATAAGCTAAATACAATTTATAAAATACATCTAAGCCATGCTGATGAGTATAAATTTACGAGATTTCCGCAAACATGTCCAATTTGGCATACAAAATAATTGATTTAGATTGTGAGCTTGAATAAATGCATAAACCTAACTACATTTTAAACTTGTGAAAATATAAATCATGCATTTAAATTAACCTGCTATAAAATAGTAAACTTGAGGTCTAATACAACCAAAAAAAAAAGATAACTCAAAAATATTTTTTTTTACTTAGATATAATTTTATTTAGCTGATCGTTTCTCAGAATACAAGAAATTTCCCCGGATTGAGCTTTCTCATTTTTGGCTTAGATCACCGCGCCCATTATTTGGTTGCATGCCTCCACCACTTACCAAGCTCGGCTAATAACTAAGCCGATCATTATCCACAACAGTCTTTCAAGGGAACTCCCTCTCTCTTCTCTAAACCACCCACCGAAGCAAACCGAGAAAACCCGCTAGCCGTTTACCTCTTCCTCAACAATTTTCTTAGCTCAATTTGCTTGACCACGTTAATAAGCGAAACCAAATGAGAACTTCCAGCAGGGAAGTGAGCTATTAGTCGATCCGAAATTCAACCAAAACGATTTTAAATTTCTGTTTAGCTTGAGAACTTTTTTGGGTTTATCTTTCTGTGCTTCATACGCATCATACATAATAAATAAATATGGAATTTATGTGCACCAGAAAACCGACTGGCACATTAATAAATCCGATTTTCATTGCTGCAAAACAATAAAATGAACAAATAATAATATTCTTATTGTTTTGAGGAAGTCATAAAACTTAAAGCACTTTTCAGCTCAAATCGGATTTTTTCCCTTTTTTTTGCGCATGATTTATGATTTATTAATAACATATTCAAATGCCTTTAAGGGGAAAGGGCCTCAATAATTTTTGGCAATACATGGAGATGCCGGATTTTGATTTTGGAGTGTCAGTGTCTGACCTTTAACTGAAGATTGCTGGCAGATACACATTTAAAGGTCACTCCAGTCGTTAGCGGATTTGTACTGACTGAAGCCAATCTCTACTTGCAGATACTTTGTGCTCACTCGTGACTACTTGCACTGCTTCAAGAGAGCCTCGGGATCGGCCAATGAACGTGCCTCGGATATGGGACAGTTTATCTTCAAGGTAAGTGGATGCCAACTTTTGGGGAAATCTAAATGAAATACTAACTACTGCACAAAGGGAGAGTTGTAAACCTAAGTTTCTTCTAAAGTTTTGAGTCCATATTCATTCTATGCACATTTCGCCTTTATAAATGTTCTACCTCCACTGAAGTGTCGGGCAAACTTTTTTATTTACTGCGCATTGTGTTAAATTCTATTGCAGCCAGCCAGAGATTTATGTTCAGCATTATGAGCAACCCATGACTATAACCTGTTTGTCGTAAAAGGGGGTAATAAAGGCGCCTGGGACACACCTTTAGTGCAAAAAAAAAAATTGTTTATAAATGAAGTCTTTTTCGGTTGACAATGCCAGACACATCCAGTCACGTTTTGCAATTGACTTTTCAGCCAGATAAATGAAAGATATCCGTCCATGTAGGGGGGCTCAATTGATAGGCAATCTTCGGTGGAAATCCGTACGAACGATGCCAATTGTCTGGGAGCTTTTTCTAGCCAAACAAATCCTGATCGAAGAGGCTATAAAAACGGAAAGAAAAACTTCAACTAAGCTCAACTAATTGGCTAAAACTTGCATCTACTGCATGTTAATTTGCCTAACTATTCACCCCACTCCCCGCATCTTGGGATTCCCCCATTAAGAGTGCCTCTCCTTAACTCGCCCCGCACAACTTTGCGATGAAAACAAAACAAATACGAGAAATACTAAAGGCAAACGGCAAATATTGCACACAGGCAACAACAAAAAACACAAACAGGAACAACTGCAATAGCAACAACAACTGTGAAAAACAAAAAGGGGTAAATGGAAATGCAACAAAGTCGAAATACAAACACCCTTTGAAAAACTTTATTCGGAAAATTTGGAATATTTGTGGTTTCTTTCTAGTATTTTGTAAAATATAGTAATATCGTGAAAAAATTCTATACAAGATTTTTCACTTAAATTCGGCATTTATATATTTTTTACATCAAAAAAGTTTCATATTATTTGGAGTGCGGTGGGCTTGGAACTTGGGTCTTACAACCTATTTAAGCGCACTTTTTAAAAAATTTGCACAAGCCATAAATGTATTCTTAAAAAAATATAAATATAAAATATAAAAATATAAATTATATTTATTTCAAAGTTTTTTCTTAATATTATTTTTTTTAAGTCCTTTAATTCTGCATTCCGAAAAAAGGTTTCAAGTGTTTCAAGTTAGAGTATAATACCCACGATTGCCGTGAAATTGTTCATTACCTCAGTTGCTGCTTTTGGGTTGTTGTTGCTGATGACATTGTTTTTGTTGCTGCTTAAACAAATAAGGAAAATGCACATAAAACTGCAGTGGCAAACAGCGAAAACAAAAAATGCGACAACACTGCAAAGAGATCATGGGAAAATTACTTTTAAGTTTTTTTGTCCCCTTTGAATTTAATTTTATTTTGTTTTAAATTTTGTCTCATTTTCTTTTTTGCTGGCACTTTTTTGCTCTCTCTAAAAGCAGTGTCAATACACAGCCAGCAGCAGGTTGTTGTTGCTTACAGTTTAATTTAAAATTAAAATACATTTTTTTCTCGCAAATAAAACAAAGTGAAAAATGCTCCGTTGTTGTGCGGGCAATTTTCCAAAGTAAATAAGCAAGAGTGGCGAGGGAAATGGTGGAAAAGCGGACACGGGGGAAAATAATGACATAGGTGGAACTAAATGGTGAAAAATCCCGCACCGTGCGGGAGATTAACTTATTTAATGTGAGGGAAAACATTTATAAAGAAATTACGAGAAGAATTCGTTGAGCTAGAAATATATTAGGTAATTCGTTTCACAAAATTCGGTTTTTCATTTGAAAACCCCATCAAGAATGAAATGAGGTATTTGGCTTCTTTCCCAAAATTGCTAAGCAAATAAACACCCAACTAACCTTCAAGACTAAGACCAAATAAATTCGACCAAAAATGGTCAACAAAACATCAAAGACAGCCACCCACCCACACTCAATTATCCAAGGCGCAAACCCAGGGAAGTCAGCCATGAACGAGTCATTGAACAGAAAGGTGTAAAAGAGAGGCACTGCCCGGGTGTGAAAGAGATGGAAAATGCCTGAAAATGTTTGACTCATTAATGAGCACGGAAGGCGGCATCTCATTTCATCGCTTCTTTGTGATTTCGCTTGTTCATTGATGTTTTATTGACACTACAATGATTCAATATTATTACCTCATCAATGTAATCAACTTAATCAATTAGGCGAAAAGGTGCGACTAGGTAAAAGACGGTCTTGGTCTAATTATTTAATTTGATTTTAAAATATTTTCGAGAACTTTGTTCCTACCCGGGTACTTACTACGTTTATATGAAAGTCTTATTTTGGTTTCTTTAAATATAAAAGTCAAACAAATTATTTATTCTTAAATAATAAACAGAATATTAAAGTTTAAATGTGACAACGCTTTTTTACAACTTTTTTAAAAACAAATTTTTAATGAATTTTAAACTTATTTTCTTTTAAAACCAATTCTTTTCAAACATGACACTTGTTTTGACACAGTTTTGAAAATTCTTAAGCTGATAGTAATTTTATGAAAACCAAAACTTGGTTTAAAAACTGAAAATTAAAAAAAAATGTTTTTGAAAAGATTAGAATTGTACCCAAACAGTAATATTTGGAGTTCTGCATTTCTTATAATTAAATTCTATATAATTTTGAAAATAGAGGACGTATAAACGTATTCAGAAGGAGATGATGAAACAGAATTGGTCTGATTGTCTGCCATCTACCTGGGGGAAATCAATCGGGCATAATTACAGGTGATGAAAGTGCATGGGAAATCATTGGGATGGTTTTGATGTTGATGCTTCGGTTTACCAGCCTGGAGGTGGGTAAAGTTTTCCGCCTCAGAATTTTGCAGTTTTGCACTTTGACAGTGATTGAAAGCAATATTGATTTTTGTCCTTGGGTGGGCGGCAAGTGGATAATGTGAAAAAGGGGGCGGAAAATGTGCCTGCGGGGATATGCCATTTCTGTCTGTTCAACGTTAATGAGCATTATTAATTGGGTTGCACTGAAGAGACTCGGATATCGATGCTGAAGCATTTAATTATGTTCAAAATGTGTGCACGCATAATTAAAATCTGATGGAAAAATGTGAAGAAAAGAAATTAATAAGTGAAAGGAACATAAATCAAAGGCTTATAGCAAACAAAATTATGGAAAATGCAATATAAAAATTAATCCCTGTTAAGTATTTTAATAATTTTTTTTTTTACCATAAATTAAAGCCGCACGCGCATAAATTCAATTTTACTTTCCCAAATTGCAATGCCAAAATCTGAACCAATGACCAATTGAGCTTTTGTGTTAGTTTTGACAGCTCATGCTATTAAACATGTCAAAATATAAAACGACAATGGAATTCGTTCATAAACCTCATAAATAACAATAATAAATAATAACAGCCAACAAGCCGATCAATATCGACCTTGAACAAATTATTTGTGAACCAAACGTAAAACGGAAATTTGGAAAATATTTAGCCAATCGATTGTGGGTTGGCACATATCTGTATGATGCCTATAACAAGTGAGGTCAGAGTTTTGGGAAGGGAATAAAGGTCAAAAATATATGGACAATTTTAAAATAGTTTAAAAGAAAGGAGAAACGAGCGTTATTAAAAAAGAGCATGAAACTTAATAACATAAAAATGTATTTCAGATAAACCCAAACTGAAACATGGCCATTAACACTAATATTATTTTTCGTGAAGTGTTATATTAGGCAACACAACACTCATTTTCAACGCACAGATTTATTTATAAAAACTTTTATTTAAAGACTTTCCTAAACGATCTGAGCAGAAGACCTGACATCTTTCCTGGGGATCAACCTAGAATATCATAAATATTTTAATTTGCAGTAACGCCCACATAAAACTTATGAAGACGACTCCCAAGACAATTTCGATTTCGATCTTTGATCGTGGAATAAGAAAATCCCTTAAATTATCTAACAAACGAAAAAGCTTTATGCAATATTCGATGTTCCATCTGCTACCGCCACGATTAATCATAAAAAGCGATCGGAAAAATACTGCCCCCAGTACTTTAAGAACTTAATTATGTTGGCCATTAGAAGAAGAGAGATGGAACCTATGAAAGAAATAAATAAAGAAGGAAAGAGGCAAACTTACAGGGGCCGCATAACTTGGCTAATTGCCACACGCCGCAGCTTCTTGATTTTTCCTCTGCTTCAGGGACTGCTGACATATTTTCCTAATGGCCTCACATAGTTCTTGGCCATAAGCGAGCGACAGCACGATGAATCGGTGGCAAACTTAAAGTTTTACTCATAAACAAGGGCTACAAGCAAAGAAGAAAAAAAAATAGGTTCAATAAAAAGTTCAGCATGCTAAAAAGTTTGCGGTTCCTAAAGGGAAAAAGAAATAGAGATGGGGGAGCGGAGATGAAACCTTCTGGCCTAATGACTTTTAACCGAGTTGCAAAAATGCAAACGGAAGGAGGGCTGACACTTAATTGGTGCATTATTCAGCAAAAGTTGTTACGACCTAAGTTGGTAGTCAACATTTTTCATCAGCCATTTAGTTTACCAAAAAAGATTTAAAAAAGAATATTACTCTGAAAATTATATTTTTATTATAAAATAAAACAAGTAATATAAAGCAAAATTATTTCAGTCATTTCATTTATGTATACATATGATTAGGTCTTCAAACCCCTCTCGTTTGAAAAGTGATAAATTTTCATTTAAAAAAGTATGCAGCAAAACATTTGCTATGAAGATTTCCTTCTTAATAAAATCCTGCATTCGCCACTAATTTATTATATATATACTGTTGAAAACAATCAAAGATCCATAGAATAAAATAAATAAGCTGTTTTATACCCACTAATTAATTATGATCTTTCCTAATTTTTTTAACAAAAATACAACAATTACATAACGTCAGCTTACCATAGTCATTAGCCATCCATTTGAATATAAAAACTCTAGACCCCTTTCCCACCCAAAATTCAATTGTAAACCATTCTCTCAGCGCCCCACTGAGTATGACCCGGGCAAATCTTGTTGTTTTACATTCAGCGGAAAAACGTTTACATAACCTTTAACTTGATTGTCTAACCATTTGCATTGTCTTCTGCGTTTCGCTCCAGGTCAAGCTGGTGGATGTGGAGAAGGTGGAGTGGCTGAATCGGCGCTCCTACAGCGCCATCGGACTTCTACTGGGCCGCGAGGGTCGCGTTCTCCTACGCTGCGATGATGGCCTCGAGGACTGGTTCGAGCTGCTGGAGGTGAGTGGCCATGAAATGGAAAAATAGAACTAACTTAGCTCAAAATTGGCCAAGAACACCAAATGAGAAAAATCAAATTTGCTAAGTGAACTTATAGCTGAATTCACAGTGGAAGATAATTGTTAGCACAGCCAACAATCTAATGGCAATTAGATAGAATTTATGTTACATTCAAAAATATGAAAATTATGGAAATTCGTACTCTTAAAAGCTTTAATCGTGGACAAATAATTATAATAATTACCTAATAATTATAATTACATTTTTAAGTTCCTCGTTATGCTAACCCAAGAAAGTAAATATAAAAAGAAGATTTAATGAAAATAAATTTTTATTAAGAATTAGATTATAAATTATAATTTGTAGAACCAAAAAATACAAGCATTTACATCATAGATTTTTAAAATTTGTATAATTTTTCTATAGTTATTATATCTTATTATTTTTTGGTTACATAACGAAATAAATTTATGTAATAATTAATCTTTTATTAACTTAATTTCTTTTGTAGAAACACTCTTTAACTTGTAAAACAAAAAGAATTAAAACAATTTTTTTTTGTTCTGAGTTGCTTAAATTAATACAATTACAATTGAAACTAAACATTTGCTTTCCCTTTCCTTTTAGGAATGCACAATGACCTCCAAGGAGCGAAGACGAGCCCTGAAGATCGCCCAAGGTCCCAGATCCCGAGCCTCCTTGGCAGCTCCAGTTTCCCACGCCTCGCTGCAGTTCCATCACTTCGGACTGGGAGGCACTTACTCGAGTGCTCTGGATGACTGGCTGATGACCAATGGAACTGGGGGTCTGGCCCGCCACAAAATAGGAGCTGGTAGTCTGAACGGTTATGCTGGAGCCAATCCCTTCCTCTTCTCCGATTCGGTGCCGGATCTGAGTGCTCTGAATAATGAGAACCACAATCACCACCTGAGCGGCATCAGCACCAACCACTCGACGCCCCAGAAGATCCCGCACCACAGCAATGCGAATCTCAGCCGCTATTCCAATGGCTATGTCTCGGCCCAGAACAGTTTCACCCAGGCTGGAGCCCTCTATGGATCACCCAGGAGGATCTTCATCAACAGCAGTTTCGGTTCCAATCAGGTGGTGGATGAGGAAACCGAGGAGACGGAGGTTCAGCTGAGGAGACCCAGACTTTTCCGCGGAGTGAGTGCCACTCCCGATAATGGCAACGAATTGGACAGGGATTGGCTGTACCGAAAGCCAAGGGCGCCCACTGATATGAGGCACTCAGGTGGGTTTCTATACATTAAAGCTGGTGGTAGACGATGCATCGGTAACTTCGCAAAACATGTGTACATGTGAAATATAAAATTTTAGTTTAATAAGTTATTGTTCTTTGTAAAAGAGAGATAGAAAACTAAAAACTTTTAGCAGATGCACCGTTTACTACCATCTTCACCTTTTATACTTTGAACATCAATATTTATACATGTTATGCCCTTTTCTTTAGTTCAACCCATGTTACCCGTTGGCGGAGGCAGTAATGTTGGCCTGGCCAAAACCGAACTGGACTGTTCGGCCCATGATAGTGGCCTGGACACGCCCCCTTCGACACACCGCCCCTCGAGTTATCGGGAGGCGAGCAGGGATAGCACCGAGACGAATGGCAGCTCCTCGAGGGGAACGCTGCTGAACAACTCCTCGCCGGGTGGAAGTTTTCGGGCCAAGAAACTGAGCAGCCAGGTCAGCAATCTCAATCAGCTGAATTCCTTGCATGGATCGCGATACTCAGTGCAGGATCAGCGTATCCTAAAGATGCGCAACAACGAGGAGGATCGCTGTGCCTCGATCAAGATGGCCAATCGGCTCAATCAGAATCAAGAGCAGGCCAACTACGATCCCAACCAGAATCGCTACTATAAGAACGGCAATGCCACGCCCCCCACTTCACTGACGCCCCAACATACGCCGCAGCACAAGCTGATGATGATGCACCATGGCAATGGGAACGGCAACATGGGAACACTAAATGGCAACACCAATGGCACCGGATCGGATCGGATGAACGGTTCGGCCATTTTCCGGGAGCGGTACCAACATCCTGCTCTGGCCGCCATCATCAACGAAGCCCAGGGTCTCAAGTTCCGAGGTAGGTTCGAGGATTTATACGGTTTTGCTTGCATTACTCATCATTCATCTGGCATGGTTATGGGATGGCTTTGAGATCATTTGGTTTGGTTTTACTATTGGAATGCTTAAGATAAGATTTGTTTTTAATATATCTAGTTTTAGTGTTTTTAAAATTATATTTTAATTGTTAAATTTATTCTTCAATTATTTTAAATCAATCACTCAAATCAAATTTATTTTTGTTTTAAATTTAAGTCAAATATCAAACAATACTTGGACTTTTCTTTCAATATTTTTTTTATTTATTATGACAAAAGACATATGTACCTATAAATATAATTATTTTATATTTGATTGTATAATAATGTAGTCTATATTTAATGCATTTTAAAAACATTTAGTTTAGAAACTGAAAATATTTTCATTTTTTATGTTAATCAAGGGTTGCATTTGACTTTTTTGTTATTATAAAACTGTATTATTTGAAATGTTTTAAGTTTTAAAATAAAACACACCCCCACTTATCATTCATGTTTTATTGAAATCATCCTTTGTAACCCTCCTTCTATAATATATATTTTTTACCATTTTACTTTTGCATGTTATCAATTTAAAGAAGAATCAGAAAATATGTGGTAAACTCCCCAAAAACCATAATGTGCATGTTTCACAAATTCTGGGGCAGAGCTGCTCCAATAGTGCATGACGATCGGAATCGGGATCGGGAAATATATCCACCAGAAGGTATAGATAAAGAGACCCTTTCCCCAACTTGTAGAACGCGCCTATTCGGACAGCCAGCAGCGTCGCCTCAACAACAACAATGGACCGACACCCCAACCAGCCTCGCCCCTCGCCCAGCGCCGGAATAATGGTGGACTCGGATCCGGAGTCGGATCAGCGGCTATATATGGCACGCCCACGCGTGTATAGCGCCTAAAGGTCTAAGAATAATCCAAATCGATGGAGGATTGATCACTCCCCACTAGTTTAAAAAGCATATAAGCGGTAAATTAGTCAACTTGATGGAAAGTTTGGAAATTATTTGCATAGAAAATACTTCAACGAAGATAGAAAATAATAACTAAATAATAATTATGTAGTAGTACTCTCAGTGTGTGTGCTCCAATGTCCAGCTTTATGTAAATGTTTAAATAAAATATGCATTAGAGAAAAATCTAAGCGATGTCGACTTTAATTGGGAAATAAAAGGTCCGAGAGGAAAGCGAAATAAATATGTATATTTGGGATATCTTTTGCATTTAAATGGTAAGTATGCTGACCAAATTCGATCCGATTTTGAATACGCCGATAGAATTTTCAGTACAAACTGAGTGAGATAAAAATATTTTCCTACCAAATTTAAGTCCGCTCCGCAGATAGCTTTAAAACTGAAGGACTAGTTTGCGTAGAAACAGACGGACGGACAGACGGACATGGCTGGCCCATAACTGGACTTCCGAATTCCATAACTTTACTAAATTTTATCCGATTTCAAAGTGGCATACCTCTAAAGACTCGTAATTTGATTCTCAAAAAATCTGCATCAAAATTTTTCATTTTAGCGTTGGTCCAATTTTTGACCCATTTTCATGTCATTTATTTCAAAGTTTCCGATGTGTTGTTAAAAGGTGGCCCATAACTGAACTTCCGAAGTCTATAACTTTACCAAATTTTATCCGATTTCAATGTGGCATACCTCTGAAGACTCGTAATTTGATTCCCAAAAAATCTTCATTTAAATTTTCCATTTCAGCGTTGATCAAATTTTTGACCCATTTTCATGTCATTTATTTGCAAGTTTCCGATGTGTTGTTAAAAGGTGGCCCATAACTGGACTTCCGAAGTTCAGAACTTTACCAAATTTTATCCGATTTCAAAGTGGCATACCTCTAAAGACTCGTAATTTGATTCTCAAAAAATCTGCATCAAAATTTTTCATTTTAGCGTTGGTCCAATTTTTGACCCATTTTCATGTCATTTATTTCAAAGTTTCCGATGTGTTGTTAAAAGGTGGCCCATAACTGAACTTCCGAAGTCCATAACTTTACCAAATTTTATCCGATTTCAATGTGGCATACCTCTGAAGACTCGTAATTTGATTCCCAAAAAATCTTCATTTAAATTTTCCATTTCAGCGTTGATCAAATTTTTGACCCATTTTCATGTCATTTATTTGCAAGTTTCCGATGTGTTGTTAAAAGGTGGCCCATAACTGGACTTCCGAAGTCCATAACTTTACCAAATTTTATCCGATTTCAAAGTGGCATACCTCTAAAGACTCGTAATTTGATTCCCAAAAAATCTGCATCAACATTTTTCATTTTAGTGTTGGTTCAATTTTTGACCCATTTTCATGTCATTTACTTCCAAGTTTCCGATGTGTTGTTAAAAGGTGGCCCATAACTGGACTTCCGAAGTCCATAACTTTACCAAATTTTATCCGATTTCAAAGTGGCATACCTCTAAAGACTCGTAATTTGATTCCCAAAAAATCTGCATTTAAATTTTCCATTTTAGCGTTGATCAAATTTTTGACCCATTTTCATGTCATTTATTTCCAAGTTTCCGATGTGTTGTTAAAAGGTGGCCCATAACTGGACTTCCAAAGTCCATAACTATACCAAATTTTATCCGATTTCAAAGTGGCATACCTCTAACGACTCGTAATTTTATTCCCAAAAAATCTTCATCAAAATTTTTTATTTAAGCGTTGGTCCAATTTTTGACCCATTTTCATGTCATTTATTTCCAAGTTTCCGATGTGTTGTTAAAAGGTGGCCCATAACTGGATTTCCGAAGTCCATAACTTTACCAAATTTGATCCGATTTCAAAGTGGCATACCTCTGAAGACTCGTAATTTGATTCCCAAAAAATCTGCATCAAAATTTTTTATTTTAGCGTTTGTCCAATTTTTGACCCATTTTCATGTCATTTATTTCAAAGTTTCCGATGTGTTGTTAAAAGGTGGACCATAACTGGACTTCCGAAGTCCATAACTTTACCAAATTTTATCCAATTTCAAAGTGGCATACCTCTGAAGACTCGTAATTTGATTCTCAAAAAATCTGCATCAAAATTTTTCATTTTAGCGTTGGTCAAATTTTTGACCCATTTTCATGTCATTTATTTCAAAGTTTCCGATGTGTTGTTAAAAGGTGGCCCACAACTGGACTTCCGAAGTCCATAACTTTACCAAATTTTATCCGATTTCAAAGTGGCATACCTCTGCAGACTCGTAATTTGATTCTCAGAAAATCTGCATCAAAATTTTTCATTTTAGCGTTGGTCCAATTTTTGACCCATTTTCATGTCATTTATTTCAAAGTTTCCGATGTGTTGTTAAAAGGTGGCCCACAACTGGACTTCCGAAGTCCATAACTTTACCAAATTTTATCCGATTTCAAAGTGGCACACCTCTGAAGACTCGTAATTTGATTCCCAAAAAATCTGCATCAAAATTTTTTATTTTAGCGTTGGTCCAATTTTTGACCCATTTTCATACTATTTATTTTCAAGTTTCCGATGTGTTGTTAAAAGGCGGCCCATAACTGGACTTCCGAAGTCCATTACTTTACCAAACACGGAATTCAGTAGAAAATATTTTGTTAATCTTTAAGCGTCTTGGAAAATATTATATCCTAATATCCCAACAGTTGGCCTACATTTGTTTTAAAATGAAATCTAATTGACAACTATTGTATATTTTTTTTGGGTAAAAGCCTACATATTAGAATAATTTGTGTCTTGAACGCAATATATTGTATCTGCTAAATAATAAGATAACATAATTAGCTGAGCGGGAAGTGCCAACTGTTGATTAGAAACAAATATATATATATTTTAATTTCGGAAAAATGCATAAGAGATTTAAGCTCTGACACAGTTTTGACGAAGTCCGAAAAGATCAAGCTCATGCGATTCGGTTAAAAGCTTTAAGGATGTATTGCAGGACTCCTTTCGAGAGCAATTTTATAAGCTTCTTGTACCAAACTTTCACGAATTGCCTTATAAAAGATGCAACACTGAAAAGCTCTGCAATAAAAAAGCTTAAATTGCGAGAGAGGACGAGCTGCAACCCTCGAAGGATAAATCAGGGAGACCCCCTTGTGCGGGTAATGGAATGGGCTTTTCGGAGTCAACAATAAAATTTTCAGTCAGCTTTGAGACGCAGCAGCCACAGCAGCAGCAGTAGCCGCTGCAGGATTTAGCGGTCGGCCAACCAGGAGCAGCAGGAGTAGAGAATTTTCCCAGCAGGATGCGGAGTCGCACGGAACTGGTGACCACCACTTTCGAGGAGAGCGACGAGGACGACTTCAGTCCGGACGATGATTCCGATTCGGAGGAGGACTGGCGGCCCACTAAGAAACGTCCGACCAAGCCATCTGGTTCCGATGGCGGCAGAAAGCGGAAATCAACGGCTGCCACAGCCTCGAAGGCAAAGCGCCGCATGGCCAAGGTGAGCGACGAGGAGTCGGAGGACGAGGATGACCTAGAAATAGAAACGGATCCCAGCGACGACGACTTCGACTTTCCCTCGACCAGCACTTCAAAAAGACCCCAAAGTCTGCCACCCAAGAAACAGTTCGTAAAGCTGAATCAATTGGATTTGCTGGTGAAGAAGTCTGATCTGTTGGAAAACGACTGGCTGAAGAACAATCGATTGTGTCTGTGGCGAAAGGACGAACAGACGAATCTACTCCAGAAGTATCTGCGTGTAAAGTCGGCCTCTGAGGAGGAGGAACTGCTCTTCACCTCCAGTTCGGTGGTAAGTCGGATATTCTTAAACAACGGTTGTCACATCAAAAAAATATGTAAAAACCAACAATAACTAATATTGTTTGTGAAAAAACAATCTAGCCTTAATGGCACCATGTTTTTTGAATCCAGTTCAAAAATGTAATAATTAATTCGTTAAAAACATGTTGTTGTCTAGTAAAAAGGTTTTAAAAATGAGTATGACTCAAAATTTGAAGTATTTTTTTATAAACAAATTGAGTGTTTTAAGATAGTGACAACCGATTACTTCTCAGACCTTACAGGAAATTATTTATTTATTATTATTTCGATCTTCTAGTATTCCAGTTGGGATGATCAGCAGACGAGCGACTTCATAGAGGTCAAAGTCAACTGCTTGGATCCCAACAATAGACGCATTAAACTACACGATCTCGAGGCGGTTAAGAAAATCTCCGAGGAACTACAATCAGAGAGGGATAAGTCCTCAGCATCGGACAAAGAAGAAGCTTCGGAGGCGGAAGAAGAAAAGCCAGATGAGGCCGAATCTTAAACAACTATTAAATATACGCAACACTAACATTTTCTTTAGTAATTAAAACTAGTTGGCCAAGTTAGCGTTAAACAACAAATTTCCTTATAACAGCAGCCATGTGAAGACAACTTTAAATTTAATTTAGTAAATTAAAGGAGCCAGAAACAACATGAAAAAAACAAAAGAAAAGTCACTCACTTGAAAAATATCAATTTAAAAATTTGGTGTTTCAATTGTAATACATTCATTATACATCGCTTATATGCATTATATGCTAATTTCGCCTATATGCAACGCATGTTGACAGTTACTGTATTTTATTTAGCTCTGCTGCAAATATCGTATATATGCAAACACTTTCTGTCTGCCTTTGCATATAAGCGATAAGTACTTTACAAAGTTGTATAAATCGGTTTGTATAGGAAGAGACTTAAAATTTGCACTTGAGGACGGTTACCGACGCCGCTCGCCTTTGACGGTTTTGCGCTTCTCCTTCTTTTCCTCGCGCAGTTGCTTCTGCTTTTCGCGATCGTCCTTGTCCTTTTGCTTTTTGGCGGCGCTGTCCATTCGAGCCTGCTCCCGTTTTTCCTTGGCGAGCGCCTGGACATCGGATTTGTTGGTATTCTTGGCGAGGACTCCACTTTCATCATCACTTTCCGACTCGGAAGCGTCATCATCCTGGTTCACAACAGCAGTCTGTGGAGTGGTAAGAGGTAAGCTTTTGTTTTTGTCAAAAATAACAAACTAGTTAAAAACTTATTGCTGTAAATAAACTTGTTCACCCAAAAATAAAGTTATAATTTATAGTTACTAGAATAATTATCATCTTTTAGGCAATTTAAGCCCTTGCTAAAGAAGCATACAAATAAAATAATAAAAACACGAATACAAACAGAAGAATCTTTGAATCTAGTATGCTATAAAAATCACTAAAATAAATTGAGTTCAAGAAAAAGCTGAGAAAACCAAATGATATTGGATTTTTTTGGACAGTAATTTGAGTACTCAGGCTAATAATAAAGCACAAAAACCGAATTATAGTAATAAAATATAAAGGTATGTTTTGGAATGAAGTCTGCGCACTTTTAAATGATGTTCGTCAGTGAACTAAGTAGGATAAAGTGCTGTGTTGAGAAAAATCAACGATTAATAAAAAAAACAAGAAAGGAAAGCTAACTTCGGGCGGAGCCGAAGTTGATATACCCTTGCAGAATACTCTGTAAATTATATTCTCCAAAATTATTCATATGATGCATTCTTACTACTCATCAAAAATCCCAACTTCCTAACTTTAAAAACACCAAAGTTATGGCATTTCCGATCGTTCAGTTATATGGCAGCTATAGGATATAGTCGGCCGATCCTTATGAAATTTGATAGGTCGGATTGATTGGCTAAAAATAAAACCCATAGAAAATTCCAACTTCCTAACTTAACAAACACCAAAGTTATGGCATTTCCGATCGTTCAGTTATATGGCAGCTATAAGATATAGTCGGCCGATTCTCATGAAATTCGGTAGGTCAGATTGATTGGCCAAAAATAAAACCTATAGAAAATCTCAACTTCCTAACTTTACAAACACCAAAGTTATGGCATTTCCGATCGTTCAGTTATATGACAGCTATAGGATATAGTCGTCCGATCCCGGCCGTTCCGACTTATATACTGCGTGCAAAAAAAAGAAGGGTGTGTGCAAAGTTTCAATTCGATAGCTTTAAAACTGAGAGACTAGTTCGCGTAGAAACAGACAGACGGACAGACAGACGGACAGACGGACGGACGGACAGACGGACAGACGGACAGACGGACAGACGGACATGGCTATATCAACTCAGGAGGTGATCCTGATCAAGAATATATATACTTTATAGGGTCGGAGATGCCTCCTTCACTGCGTTGCACACTTTTGACCAAAATTATAATACCCTCTGCAAGGGTATAATAAAAGCAATATCATCTTTGAATACATTATGCTAAAGTGGCTATTGAATAACACAAAAGCGAGGACTGAAAATTTGGCATTTAAAATGCTGTGAAAACCGGATAAGTTGGGATTTTGGCGATAGTAACCTGGGAGTACTGGGCGAGAATCTGCTGCTTGATGCGGCGCTCCTCCTCCGTGTATTCGCGCTCCTTGTTTACGGCGGGTTGCAGCTTCTGTTGCTCCAGCAACTTGGCCAATTGGGCATTCACATCGATGTCCAGACCTTTCTTGGGCGGATCATCGGCGCTGGGATGACTTTGTAGCCATTTCTGGAGAATGGTGCCCACGAGTTCGTCGATATTGGCAGCCTACAAAGCGGAAATGTGTTTGTTTTTAAGTGGGTTTTTCCATAATGCTTGACTTACCCCAGTTTCGCTGAGAATGCCTTCGAGAGCCTCGGTTTTTTCCTCAGTCGTTTCATCGCCTTCCAAAATGCCAACAATATACGACCCGAAAATGTTCTCGTCCGTATTCAGTTTTCGCAGCTGCTCATTTAGCCAGCTCTGGAACTCCTCGCTGGCACTCATGGCTTCTTAAGATTTAGTTTAAATATCATATATGGAGGGTTTAACTGGCGAGATAATCGGGCAGTGACAAATCAGCCGCAAAAGGCAACAAAAAGTTTTATTCTTAAGCATGTGGCGCAGTGTTGGTAAGTGGCCATGGAAAAGCAGCTGTTATAACAGAGCTGCCAATTGGTGAGGAACAAGGTAAATGCTTCTGTAAAAATTTTAGAATATATTCAACTAATATCCAAAAAAAAAGTTTTCAAGATTAATTATCTTATATCTCCTTATTTTCAGTTTCTTAAGAATTACATTCATAAAACTTACTGCTGGCAGCACCATAATGTAACACAACTGTTAACCATCTGTTAGTTATCCGCAAACAGCTGATTGCCTAGTGCTGGTAAATACCCGTACACCTTTTAGTTGTTTGCCGACCTTAAAAATCTTTACGCTTTTTATAACAAAAGAAATTGTTAACTGTTGTGTTGTTAAAACTTTGTCAGTCTTACAAAATATGTTCCGTGGCCAGCCAGCTATTTAGTTTTTATAACAATAACGTTTCGTGAATAAATTCACACCGCATAATGGAGCACATACAATTATAAACAAATTGTTTGTTTTATTGTGACTGAAATATTTTTACGGTTTTGTGCGTGTGATGTTACTTTGTGCTTGTGTTGGTGTCTTCGTTTTCTGATAACTCGCAGCATACAAAAACAATAACAAATTACAGCAACAACGTCACACGTCTGCGACACCTGCGTCGTTGTTGTTTTTGTCGCCAAAGTTGATGTTGTTGCTGTCGTCGCCTTCGGCTTTTGTTTATTTGTTGCTGGGCGTCTCGTCGGCAGACGCGTTATAAACAAAAAAAGGAAAGCACATACATACACACACACGCGTGTGCCGTTGGCAACAAGTGGAATATATACAAACAAATTTCATGCATCGTTATATTTATGTGTAATCACAAGACGTCGATGAAATCCGTTAAAATATTAGAAACTCTTGGGGAAGAAATCTAATTGCACTTTGGAATCAATTTGGACTTTTGAGGTGAGTTTTCTTTAGATTTTAAAAGTATTTTTATGTGGAGGCAGGTCTAGAATTGGAAAACTTAAAGGCTTGGCTAAGTGTCAATCTGGATGTGTAGTGCTCTTTTTAATAAGCTAATAAATACCTTAAAAAATATTCACTGTCAGCAATAAAAGGAGAAAATAATTGTTTATTTATGAAGATTTTCTGTATTAATATTTATGTAATATGTATTTAAACATATCATTATAAATATTTTGAAAACAGAGGTATATTTATGTTAAAATTATTACTAACTAATAAAAGATAGCACTCTACTGCTTTGAAACATTTTAGATGTAATTTTTCATAAATCCAATCCATTCATATATAAAATATTTTCAATGAAGAAATAATTTTAGTACTTTTAAAAGTATTAAAATAAAAATATCTAAAAAAATCTTCAAATAATAAAAAGGTTTTTTGAACATTTTATAAATTCTTTTCATAGCTCTTTATAAATTAGTTTTAAGCTACTATGTAATTTAATTCAAATCAATAACTAATTTATATTTTATTAATTTTTGTGTCCATTTGGTAAAATTTGCATTATTTTGTTGCTTTGTAATAAATGGCACATATGTACATTTATTTAATGGTATACGAATTCAATAATGGTCGTCTGTCGTTATATGTATATATGTATGAAGTTAGAAACGATATGATCAAATAAATAGTATGACAAATAAATGGAGAATTTACCTTTATTGGAAGAAATTTGTTTTAGGATGTTTGTTTTCTCAATAATCGAAAAATAGAAAAATATATTTGTGTATCTCTTTAGAATTAAGCCACATTTTTTTTGTATAACATTAGCCTTTAATCTTTGGCTCATATCCCCTGCCATCCTTGAGTTTTTCCAGGGATATTGACAGCATCTTACCACCCCAGTTTACTCCTTCGCTTATCGACTTGTGGCCTCAACTCGAGTTGTGTTGACTGTTTTTTTAATGGGCTCCAACGTTGCCGGGATTGTTTATGAGCTTGTAAATGTGAGTGTTTTACACTTTCCAATCTGTGTGCATATTCATGCGAGCTCCTCGGCGACAACGTGTGTGTTTGTGTATGCATAATAAAGGCCATTAAAATTAAGTAATTGACGCAAGCAGCGAGCAGACGACACCCGTTAAGCGGCCAAAACGAGGAAGGCGGTGTTAACTGATTCAGCGGAAAAGGAAAAGGGGGAAAGGTACAAACCGGAAAATGAAAACACGGCAAACGAAGACTGAAATTTTTATAAAACTTTCTTCCCTCCCTTTCTCTCGGTCCACCTTTTTACGATTCCCTCTCGTTCACTCACTGCAGAATTCGTCATTAAATTGGAGACCCATTTAAAATTCAGCGAGCTCATAAAATTCACACGTTTCATTGCAAGCACAGTGGTTAAAGTCTTTCCTTCAAGCGTATTTGATACCAGATTCTTATTTTTAAAATGATTTGTTTATTTTTTAATTCCCTTTTTTTTAATCTACACATATGTATAGATTGGATTAGAACAAAGAACAAGGGAAAATATGCTTGTCAATTTTATCTTTCTAACAACACAATTTTGCATATCATATGTAATATAACATTTGATTTTGACAAAAGAAAATATTAACTTTTTTATTACATTAAAAGCATAATAAATAAAAATTTTATTTTTATACAGACAATAGGATTCCAATTCCAATTTTTAGTTGCAAGATATCATTACTACCCTCTGAGAAACCTCGTCCCACTGTGCTTATTCATCATCTTGAGCTTTAACTGCCATTTGGCAGTGGGCACGCCCTCGCCCATAAAGAACTTCTTATTCGCCTGTTTTCCTGAACATTTTTTTATGCCGGATTCACTTGATGGCTTAGCGCTGCAACAGGCCAAAATCTTAACTCTAATTGTGGGAAAGAGGCAAATTGATTTCCATATCATAAACTCAAGCTTGCGGCCAGGCAATCAAATGGAAAACGCAACAAGTCAAAAGCAGAGATGAAACAATTTGGCAGGGAGTGGTATTTATAAGAGGGGCTGCACTTCACATAACAAAATCAATTCGAAAACAACGGGTGGGTGGGCTTTTCGAGGATGCCACGGGGCGCTTATCCTGTAAAGTACTTTCCATTCTTGTTGCTCGTGGAATTTTCCTGTACCCCCAACAGAGAAAGCGAGAGCTAATTCTAGATGGGGTGGTGATGGCCGCTTTGTGGGGTGTGTGTGGCTGAGATCTCTATAATACCATTGCTTATTTGGGTGGTCGTGGTTCCACGTTGTGTGGACTGGAAGCATATGCTCTCATCTTGTTTTCCCAAATAAATAATTAGCTACAAAAGCTTTAAATTAAGTAAAGGTAGTAGGAACTTAGAAATTAAACATCATGAGCTTTTAAAATTATTAAAGATTATTAAAAAATGTAAAACGAAAAACCTTTGATTTAAAAAAATTAAATGAAAATAATAATAATGTTAAGTTAATAAAGAAAAAACAACTTATCCTAATCTTAATCCTTATGGTTTTAAGAGTTTGTTCTTACTAAAACTTAATTTACAGCTGATCTTGCTTTTAGCTATGATCTTCAACTTTGTTCATTTTCTAACTGTTGTTAATTGAAGGCTTCTGCAATTTCTTTGACACTTATTATCCTTAGGATTTTAAAATCATTTATAAGCAAACAACAAGTAAAATTTCGAAAATTTTTTTTTCTGTAAAATATATATATTGTGGCCATAAAAATTATTATTGTAGGTTCAAATTAATTTAATTAATAAGTGCTATAAATTGTATTTCAATTGACTAACAAAAAATAATAGACAACGCTTCGATATAGTTAAGTTGTGAACAAGGCCATCTGTTAACTTCTGGAGTCCTCCTAAAATATTCAACTTTATGGTGGGTTCCTTTTGGAAAAGGTTTTGCGATTCCAGTCGGGATGCTAAGTAGCTCCCAGGGATCCAGAACCCAACCCATTTGCCCTGGAGGACTCCGCCCGGCACTCAGTAATGTGATTGAAAAGGCTTCTTCGGTTGGCTGCCAGTTGGATACCGTGCGGCACCATGGGCGGTTGATGGATTCCATTCACTGGGCTCGTATCTACTTAACTATTTCGATGGATTGGGTGGGGTTGTTGTTGTTGTTGGTGCTGCCGCTGACATTTTCATTTTGCTACAGTTGGCTACAGTTTTCCCGCTGTCGCTTTTCTTGTGCTGTATCATTGCCATGTCGTTGACAAATTGTCTGGCCAAAGGAGGATGGGTATCTGGATCTGGGATCCTGGTAACTGAAAGTGGGGGAGGGGATGGCTATGCAATGGCAGCCCTAAAATGTGTGTCAATAAATGTGTGTTAAAAATACCGTTAGGCAGAGTGAGTCCCCAGTTGGGTCATGGTGATATACGGTCCCAAAGAGCGCCTCCTGTTGCGCCCAACAATCTCAGGCGGTGGTCCCCACATCTCGGATTCCCTCCTTCCGAGTCTAGCTGCTCGCAAACAATTTTCAATTAAGCGCACAATCACGATAAATAAATCTCATTGTGCAAAAAGCCAGTTTCATCTACACGAGCTTAGCTTAACTTGGATTTTCTCCCGATGTACAGCAATTTTCTGCGGTTTTTCATGCCATTACCAGTGGTGGTGGTGGGGGGTTGGAAGGTGTTTTCCATGGTTAGTAGTGGGTGGTGGTAGGTAGCTGGCTGCAATAAAACTCCACCCAGGTAGCGACTTCATTGCAATCTTCACAAGCTTTTCCTCCAGCTTGGCTAACACGCTTTTGCTTCTAGCTGATGGCTAATGCTCTTCACACAAGCGGGCTATTCGGTTATATCCGGTGGAGTTGGTAACCCATGAATCATACAATAAATTACTGGGTTACGGTGTGAATTCACATAATTTAATTATATGTTGTGAAGCGCTTGGCCAAAGGCACTGGTTAAACATAGCTTGCTAATTTAAAAACAGGGGTGATCGCAATTAAATAAAAACATAATGAATAAAGACAATGAATAGCTTACTTACTTGTGTACATATATGTGAAAGTATAAGTACTTATCATTGATTAAAAATAATTAAACGAATCAGAGTTATATTTTTAAAAGCAATTAAA